TATTTATCGGCTTCGTACTATACGTATACACGATATAGTCTGTTTCTGTGCACTCCCACGAATGATGACTGACTTAGTTATTTCGAGAAAAAAAGATATTTCGTAAATCGGAGTAATCGTCAATATTAATAAAATTGACATCCGGTATGCCTTGTACACCTCTTATACGGCGAAATCCAATTTTTGCAAATTATCGTAGAACTTATGACTGGGTAGTGGCGTAATGGCACGAACCGACCGGATAATATATTGCGAATTAACTCGCGAATTGCACTCTGACCGAGAGGTTAATTAGTTTCTCGCGAGAAAGCAATAGAAACGCAGCATGATTGGCGGTAGGCAAAGCGCAGGCTTTTAGTAGACATGCCCTGAAAACTTGCCGAGTCCCGAACGCGCTTTATAACATCATTACCATAACCTTCGAGTATTGCTGTGAGCCTGCAAGTGAAGCTTAAGAGAAGGTAAGAGGGGTTGGTGTGTCCTGGGACGCGAGAGAGAAAAAACACAAGTGAAAGAACCAGTCTGCGCAATTAACGCTTAATGATAAATTAAAATGCGTTAATAACGCCTCGACCTTGAGTCATTAGAATCGCAACGTGTATACCGTCAGCCACCATATTTTACTTCCACGCTTCCTTCCTACCTTACTTTTCATTCCTTCAAGCAATTACAGCGGTCATCGCTTGCACCGCAGCAATTACGGCTCGTCCTAATTATCCCGGCTACGTGTCTTTACGTAAAAGAGACTCGTCGTACCTCTCGAGACACTCTCCAGAAGATCCGATAGTTGCTTCTCCTACGGTATAGAATTTAGAGCTCTCTCCCGCTCTCTCATACACGCACTCTATTTCTCCTCTCTCTCTCTTTGTATACGTACTCCGTATCAACCCCGCAACATTGAATAAGACGAAAACAAGAAACTCATAACGGCGCCCGATAAATTAACGCTGTCGATAAAACAAGAAAAAACGAATGGAAAGTCAATTAGAGAGTTTACGTAGTCAACCAACGTACACGTACAGGTACACGCAGCATAGTTATTAGTTATCTGGTTATATATAGCCATTTCGCATCAGATATCACGAAACAGAGTGAATGCAGTATCAATAAAGTGAAATTGGTATTTCCAATTAGTATTAATGAATCACTCACCGGCATGGAACACGATTCCCTGATCCTCGAGTCGATCTCCGCCCTTATTACGGGTTTGAACGAGTCGCATAAACACGATGAGCTTCCACGAATCCGCATCCAATTTTTCAGGAGTCTTCAACGTATCAACACACTCATCACTGGTATAAAGACGTTGGTAAAACGTCGATGTCACGTTATTTCGATACAGAATATACGTACGGTGAAATCAGTGACTATTAAACTGACAGGGGCAATAGAATTAATCAATTTAAAGATGCACTCGCGAAACTGTCGAACGAACGTTACGAAAAGCCCCTTTGGAAAGCCTTGGTATTCCCTTTGTGTTAGGATCTAACGAAAATTACTATAATTTAATCTGTAACACCGCACACGTCACCGAAGCCCGATGAAACATTACATTATTCCCGGTAAGCGTAAACGCGTGACTTGGACGTTCCTGTGCGATATTAACGACCGAGCGCGCCGGCAGTCCAACTCGGAATGAATCGCGCCAAGTCGAGTCGCGTCGCTCTGCGAAATGACGTAATACATCGAGGCGTCTGCGCCCTAGACGTCTCGACGCGTGTCTCTACGACTCGCTCACGTATACACTTCGGACTCCAGCCTGCTCCAGGCACACTGCCATCCTGCATCCTACTCTCTCCCGTTCACAACCCTTGGAATACAAAACTGACTCTCTCGCTCCCCCTAAGGCTGACTCTGCTCGGTCTTCCTTCTTAGGGGATGAGAAATAAGATAGAAAAGCCTCCTAGAGATTGGGGATAGTCGTGACAGCGATATGGGATACGATCAGTATAGCGACTGGAATAGGCCACTGAAACAGGAGAAGAGATGTCAAAGATATACTAATACTGGTCTTCGTAAGTCCTTAACCTCGGACATATGTAAATTACTAATAAAAAGAGGCAAACTAGAACTTGATTTTTTTATAGATAAATCATTGACCGTAGAATCTGATGAATCTTGTCGACGGTTAAAAGAGTATTAATCATAAAATTCATTAGCACGCTCAGCACGTGATTAGGTCTGGTTGTGTAGATATCGATAAACCAGGGCGTGGATACAACATACATGTATACATAGATATATACTATATCTAGGTATATCGAATGACTGTGCTCCGGTAGGTGGTAAAGTTCTCGCGAGGTGCGATTCCCGTGGTTAGATTGATTTTTTAATAAACACACAGCTACGCAAGGGAACCCTTAAGCCCTGTCCAAATACCCAGCCGACGGCGTATAGCAAAGCCGTTACAGGACGTTAGAGTCGAGCGGACGGCGTTACATGAAAATCGGATAACGGTGGCTCTCCTTTATTATAGGAAAGGGGCCGATAAACTCTAAATCTTTTTTTTAACGCTAATTCCTTATCCATCAATAACCTTTTCCCTTGCCTCCCTTAGCAAGCAAGATCTAATAACCGATATAGATATAATACAGACACGTAATACGTGCTGCAAGAGGAAAAAAATGAAATTTTCAACAAAGTCGTCGCGATGAGAATACCAATAAGTCCGTCGCTAATGTACAATTAGCTAGAACCTCGAGACGAGCAGGTAACCCACCTCATTTGCCGTCAGAACTACCCCCATAAAACACCCAGTGTAAGATTTAGATTGTTCCACAGCCGGCAATCTCTAAGAAAGCACTTTCATCCCTTAAACGTAGCGAGGGTTGCGACTCCACGAGAAGTTCGGACAAAAATTTTAAATTTAACAAAAAAAATTTTTAAATATCTATAAATCAATTCAATTAATATTTAACGAATTATTTCATGATTATTATAAAATTTAACAAAAAATTAATTCAAAATTCTTCGCGCACCTTGGTACTCGTGCGGGGCTCGAGTAATCGCTACAATATGGTGTGAGGTTTAATTATTTTAATGTGCTGCATCGCCCCCCCCCCCACTCCACCTTTGACACCAAAGACGCTTCGACGTCCCTTCCACAGCAGCTTGAGAGGTTTTAAGTAAACCGCACGATGCGCAGTAATGTGTACACACCCATATATGTATATATACATATATATATATATATATATATATATATACATATATCATACACGGTGTAGGATACGTATGTACGTTTTACAAGAAGAACAGCCTATAGTACTCGCCCTGAGAAGGTTCGTGTTATTAGTATGTTAATTGGTAGCTCGGCGCTGCCATGTCGCGTTTCGTATACCTTCCGAGTCGGGTGTGTTTATATGTTAAGATGTTTAATCGCTTCTATAATTAAACTGTCCCTCAAAGGGTTAATTGTCCCATAATCCTATGAATATGTTAACGAGAGACTCGGATTTGGATGCGATGCAAGGGGTAAGAATAAGAAATAAAATAGAAGAGGTAACACTGAGACATTATATGAGATTAGATTTTTTTTTTAATTCAAGGAAATATATTTATCTGCATATAAGATACTAGTGGGATTATGAAAATCCAAATCCAAGAGAATTCCTCATAGTGTACTCTTATGGCAATGGTAGAGATACAGTAGGCACTTACTTGAGCAGAGCAAGACCAATGGAAAATGAGAATATAAGCAATAGTCCATTAAATCCAGTATAACAAGGAGCAACAGGAACGTCTAAGGATTTACGTGAACATCCTCTATAAATTCAATCTAGTTAATCCAGAAGATTGATAACCGTAGGATAGTTACAAGTTCTCCTCTCGTGGATGATGGTATACACGTATACAGTATATATATATATATATATATATATATATTTCCTCATTTCTTTCAACCCTGCCAAATCCACGAGGGAATCCTAAGAGGCACCGAACTCCACTCAGTTAATTGGTAATCCCAGGGACTAATTACTAAATAAAGTCTATTCTTCGTTCGCTGGATCCAACGTGCGTTACTAGGATCGTCATTTATTTCTGAGGTAGTCAATGAAGTGCGTAGGTAGGTAAGAGCAGCGTCAGCATCCACAGTCTTGCCTATTTAAAAGGGAGAGCCACGTCACAGCGTCCTGACGTCGGGACGCCATTGTCGCTCGCTTATAATTAACCCTTTGAAGCATGGTGGTAACCCACGTTACCGTCTCGACTTCTTTAAAATTTTGCCATTTAATTTCCAGGTAACGAATTTAGGTCGGTCTTTGTGCATAAATATTTATTGTAAAAGTTTTATAAATAAGCAGATATTTAAGAAACAGCGTTTTCTTCGGAGCAATTCATCGTTGACAAACTTTCTCTAGATTTATTCATGAAATTTCGTACAAAAGGGTTCTCGGGGTCGCTGATTACAAACTCGCGGTCAAATTTCCAAAATTCAAGATTTTGAACGAAAATGCAAAAATTGTATGGATTTCGATAAAATTTGGTACTCGGGCATTTTTCGGATCGCTGATTACAAATCTTAACTAAAAAGGATTAAGGAAATAGACTTTAAATCCAGGGTGAAAAGTAGTCGTGAGCGAGAGAGAGAGAGAGGTAACAGCAGCAGCAGGGTAAAAGGATAGACGGAGATGGAGAGAGTAGTCCGTGTAAGAAAGGGATGGTAAAAAAGGTACCTTACCTACACCTACCGTTAAGGTAAGGCTGGCTAAGATTGGTTAAGCCAAGGGAAATGGTATAGGTGCCAACGGAAGGACTAAGGGATGCGATGGGAGGGTTTCCGAGTGGCGGGGTGGTAGGGAGGTAACAGACTGTGAAGTAGAAGGGGGTCCTCGATGGAAATTAATTCATTACTCTAATGCGCTGAGTGAGAGAATGGGCTGAGTGCTGAAGTGTCGAGTGCCAAGCGTTTCGCCAAAGATGGATGTTTCGTTTTCATTTCGAAAATTAACACTCTCCATTATGGCCGCCGACAATTTTTTTTTTTTTTTTTTTTTTTT